TTTTTATTTATATACATTTTTTTTTTTTTATTTTAGCCGTTGAGCGGAGAGATGTCAAAAACTTAGTAAGGCTTAAAAAAAAGTTTATATGTATTAAAAGATAATGTTCCATAATAGATTAGAGTATTTTGAAAAGAAAGACTATATTAAAGAAAAAATAAATAGGTAACAAAGAAATTTACAGGACTTTTACACAAATGCCTTTTTAAAATCTCTACATATAACACCTCCCAGTAAACACCATGCGTTTTTAAAACGTTCTTTGGACGCTGTTTTTAGGTTTTATCGTCCAAGGAATATTAGGCACGTTTAATAAACGTTCAGAAAACGTCTTTAAAAAACGAATAAGTTATGTCCATAAAAAAAGTTCAAAAAACGCTCTTTTACCGATCTGATAAATTGATACTCAATCATAACTCATTAAACCAAAAAAATACAAGGAAATGATTTTCCAGCGTCCATTTTGTTTTTGCTGTTTTCTCTTGCAGCTGTTTTCTTTTAATTTATAATACTGAAATATTAAATGATAGCACATATGATGTGGTTTTAAAGGATTTTAAGTCAATGTGCTGTGTGTTAATAATATAATGTTAATGTGTTTACGGTTTAACGTAAAATATTGAATGCGTTTATGCGGTTCTTAATATAAAACATATAATTTATCTTGAAATAATATATTCTTGATATAACCCTATCGGCACATCTAGTTTCTTTTTCGGAAATAAAGCCTATATAGACACGTGTTTTTCACGATCGAGGCGTAAACCAAAAGCACGTGTATATTACGGACAGTTTTACTAGAGTTTAACACGTGATTTTTGAGGTTTTAAAGTAAAATTTAAATGTCGCATATTTTTATCAGTGGTTTCACATTCCTTACGAAAAGTTATTAAAATATAATACTACATTTCCATAACAGTGAAACCATTAATACTTTAACTGGTATTTATGGTAAATAGTAATAGTTAATTTCACGGAATAAAAACCATTTAGGATACGTGTTATTTTTTTTGTTTTAGAAGGTTTTAAAAACGCAACAGAAACCAAGCGTAACTATTTTCTGAGTTGTGCCGGCTGGGAATGAGCGATTCTTCAAGTAATTCTTCTATTATAAAAACAAGAAAAAGATCGCGACCAAACGCAAGGTAAGGCTTACAATAGTTCATTTATATAATTTTTTTTTAATTATACAGTAGCTTTCATAAATTTAGACGCATTCATTTTTTTTTTTATATATGTAAGAAAATACTCAAAATAAAAATAAAATAAAAGTGCTACCGCTATGTTTGATATATAATTTAAAAGAGGAAACGAAACTCTATTATAGAGTACCTTAATTTTTTTTACAGGATGTTTATTACTCATTTTATACCGATTAACACAAAAAAGTTAATTGATAAACTTGATTTTATTTTGTTCATAAATTTAGACGCACAATTAAAAAAGTCTTATATCTTGTTAATTGATAGTTAATTAGTAGTTTTTTTCTTATATTTCTCATTAATAGGCCTAAATTAATTGATTTTGTCAAAAAACCTTATATGAATATGACTTACCTGGAATTATTTAATCATTATTTAATAAATAAACAAAAGTTAAGTTAGTTTTGCACTAAAAAAACGTAAAAAATGGGCAAAAGACGTATTACTCAAGGTGAAAGATGGCAAATTATTGCGCACATCAAAGAAGGAACCAAAAGTAATAGAGAAATCGCCAAGTTAATTGGAGTTTCTGAGAAATGCGTTCGGACAACGAAACAAAACTTTCTTCACACTGGTGGTGCCAGCGAGAAAACGAGGCCAGGTAGACCCTTGTCAACCACGAGAAAGTGGTTGACAAGGGTCTATTTAGACCCTTGTCAACCACTTTCCCTTTAGGGTTCTTTTTAGAGCTGTCAGAGCTAATCCAAGAATTAGTTACAAAGAATTGACCACAGAATTCAATGCAACGCGAAATACATTTATTTCTCAAAGCACAGTCCGCCGAATACTTATCAAATACAAGATTGGAGTCTACACTGCTTTGAAGAAACCGCTTCTGCGTCCATATGATAAACAAAGGAGACTAAATTGGTGTCGTCAAAGAAGGTATTGTCAATAGATCAATGGGAAAACATTATGTGGAGTGATGAGAGTAACTTTGAGCTTATCAATCGCAAATCTAACATAACAGTCAAAAGAATGGCTCACGAAAAGTATTACGCCAGGTACATTAGACCAACTGTACAAAGTGGAGGAAACTCGATAGGAATCTGGTCATGCTTTAATTACAAAGGTGTTGGTATGTGCCAAACATACACCGCAAGAATCAACTCTAGAATATACGTAGAAGTACTGGAAAACAACCTAATTCCATCAATTGACCTGCTTATGCTCAATAATAAACCATGGAAACTTCAACAAGATAGCGCTACTGCACATACTGCATACTATACAAAGGAGTGGTTCAACGATAATAATATTATGACAATACCGTGGCCTCCATATTCACCTGATTTGAACCCGATTGAAAACATTTGGGCTTGGATTGATCGTGAATTAGCAAAGGTTCAAATTTCCACACTTGGTCAGCTGAAGGAATTCCTTAAGGAGACCTGGTATGGGGTCCCAGAAGCGATGTGCAAAAATCTTGTTGAGTCTATGCCTAGAAGAGTTCTTAGTTGTATTAAAGCAAAAGGCGGATACACAAAATATTGATTGGTTCATAAATTACGCCTTCTAATGTATCGTGCGTCTAAATTTATGAATAATTTTTTTTGTCTAATTTTTTTAATACCATGTAGTTGTACCTAATTATTATTTAGTAATTCATTTTTTTTTGTAAATTTTTTTAAATTTTGTATTCTGTATGTATTTATCTGATAAATAGAAAAAAAACTAAACCGAAATCTTTTTTCGTCATTGTTTTATTGTTAAAATACCTAAAATTTTCTATTCTCAAATATGAGTGCGTCTAAATTTATGAAAACCACTGTATGTATATATATATATATATATATATATATATATATATATATATATATATATATATATATATATATATATATATATATATATATATATATATGTATATATATATATATATATATATATATATATATATATATATATATATTATAATTTTAATATAACATAGTATATAACCTATAAATATAACCTATATATAATATTATCATATATATAGTAATATTATATTTATTTTACATTTAAATTAAAATATGCACTAACATAATTTATAATACACTAACATTATTTACTCACACACACAAATACAATCATATATATATATATATATATATATATATATATATATATATATATATATATATATATATATATATATATATATATATATATATATATATATATATATATATATATATATATATATATATATATATATATATATATATATATATATATATAAATTATTTTAACCAATCAAACTTTTATTTTATTATAAAAACTTATAATAATATAGTTTGAGTAAAGAGAAAATGAGAAATGTAAGTACAGACAATTCCTGTTTTTTTAGTCCTGCTAAAAGACTTTATTCAGTCGTCAAAATATCTGAGGACAGTATTAATAAAAAAGTGATAGTACCTTTCCACTGGGTAAACGACAAAGAAAAAATTGTTTATTGGCCACTCAAGTCAAAAAAGCAGATTAGCAGCTATATTAGCAACTGGTTGGCTCCAGATTCTACCAGGTATACCGGTATGAAGTGAGCGTCAAGATACAAAGTCTCGATAGGGAACATTTGTTGTGAACGAGCCTTTATTTTTTTTTGTTTGTTTGCTATGACATCTGTGAAACATATTTAGTATACATCAATTCATTGAACAGACAACATCATATTTTTTCATCGTGTTAAAAATGTCGAATCTTGTACCGGAAATGATTTGCGGAAAGCATTAATTTTTTGTTTTCATTTGAAAAAAAGTGCTGCAGAGTCGCATCGAATGCTTGTCGAGGCATTTGGTGATCATGCTCTATCAGAAGCAACATGCAAAAGATGGTTTCAACGGTTCAGAAATAATGATTTTGATGTGAGAATTGAAGAACGTGGAAGACCACCAAAAAAGTTTGAAGACGCCGAATTGCAAACGATATTGGATGAAGATGACACTTTGAGTCAAAAGCAAATGGCAGAAATGTTAAATGTTGCACAACAAACAATTTCTGACCGTTTAGGGAAAAATCCAAAATGGGAAAAATCCAAAATGGGAAAAATCCAAAAGTGTGGAAAATGGGTGCCACATGAATTGAATGAAAGACAGATGAAAAACCGAAAAAACACGTGAAATTTTGCTTCGAAGACACGAAAGAAAATCGGTTTTGCATCGGATTGTTACTGGCGATGAAAAATGGATTTATTTTAAGAATCCTAAACGGAAAAAATCATGGGTTAATCCGGGACAACCATCAATATCGACTGCAAAACCAGATCGATTCAGCAAGAAGACAATGCTGTGTGTTTGGTGGGACCAGAAAGGTGTGGTGTTCCACGAGCTCCTAAAACCTGGTGAAACCGTCAATACTGATCGCTACCGACAACAAATGATCAATTTGAACCATGCATTGATCGAGAAACGACCAGAATGGGCCAGAAGACACGGCAAGGTAATTTTGCTCCATGACAATGCACCTGCACACAAAGTAAAACCGGTTCAGGATACAATCAAAACACTTGGCTGGGAGCTGCTATCCCACCCGCCGTATTCACCAGACTTAGCTCCTTCCGACTACCATTTGATTTCATCGATGGGACACGCATTGGCTGAGCAGCACTTTGATTCCTACGAGGAGGTTGGGTGTTTGGTTGGTTTGCTTTAAAAAACGAACAATTTTATTGGCGTGGTATCCACAAATTGCCAGAAAGGTGGTCAAAATGTGTAGAAAACAATGGCCAATACTTTGAATAAAATGTTTTATACTTTCCCATTAATAATTAGTGTTTTATTTTCACAAAAAACGCTCATTTCATACCGGTATACCTGGTACTTAGCTTACGTTTCCAATCAGAAATGTTCATTTAGACATGGCTACAAAAGATATTTGTGACATTTGTATGAATATAGATACAGAAACCTCTAGTAATGAAATTGAAAAATATGGTAATTTTCTGCTTAATTTTATCTATGTATGTATTTTTTGTGTGAATTTATTTTAGAAATAGAATGTATGAATCGAATTGGTGGAAAGTTTGTGTATAATGAGCCACCTGTTACTGTCAAGTTTCTTGATAAAAGACGTAAATGTGATTTTTTATTATTGTTTTCTTGTTTTTATTTTTATTTTTGTAAGACACCTTCGCAATACAATTACAATTTACCCACACACACATACACACACATGTGTCTCTCTCTCTCTCTCTCTCTCTCTCTCTCTCTCTATATATATATATATATATATATATATATATATATATATATATATATATATATATATATATATATATATACATATATTTATATATATATATATGTATGTACATACATATATATATATATATATATATATATATATATATATATATATATATATATATATATATATATATATATATATATATATATATATATATATATATATATATATATATATATATATATATATATATATATATATATATATATATATATATATATATATATATATATATATATATATATATGTATATATTGTGTGTGTAGTTTTTCAAATGTAAATAGTGTTTTTTTGTAAATAGGCCTACAATATGCTCTTTTTATGCAGTTCAGTAGTGTTAAAAATCAGATTGCGAAACTTGAAAAGCAGTTGAAAGAATGGGTCGACGAACAGAGCCTGAAATGTCTGCATTTCGCATTGAAAAATCTTCTATCCTTTTAGAATTTGATGAAAGAGAAGAAATTTTAAAAAAAAAAGATGATTTTATTATATTGGTAATCTTACCATTTGTTCAAATTATCCATTATTATGCATTTATAAAATTATTTGGTATTTGAATAACATTACACCTAAAAATGTAACTTATAAAAACTATGATTTATTATTAAATTTTTATATCATAATTCTTATTAATTTTAATAATATAAAATAAAATCCTTATTTTTATATATTTTATATATACATTCGAAACGTAACCCTATTGTACAAATATGTAAAAGAATAAATGAAATGAACAATGTTATGAAATTATCTCAAACAGTTTCTAATAAAATAAAAGCTAATGTAAAAGATGGTTGTTTTTTAACTAATCATGGTGTGGTTTTAGTCCAAGAATATTTAGGTGGAGGAAAATTTAGTTGTGATTATTACAGAAAAAAAGATTTAGATAATTACTTTAATATTTTTTTAAATTCAAAATCCATTGATGTTTATTTTCTGAGAAATTATTTAAAGAGTGTTGTTTGTATTAAAGATATTGCCACTTTACAGATTAAGTGTGCATGTTTACCTGTAAATAATGGATTTGTTATTTTACGATTACTTCATAATAAATGTTAAATATTCAGAATCAAATTGTGTTTTATTTTAAGTTATTTTACTATACCCAATGATATGTCTATCAATTTTTAATAATTTTCAAGCTTTGCAAAAAAAAAAAAATAATAATAATATTTATTTTTAATTCTTATTATTTACTTTTATTTTTACTTGAGTAAAATTAAAAATAAATAATAAGTAAAAATAAAATAAAACTTGCAAAACTTGAATATTATTAAAAATTAAAATAATAATAATTATTTATTTTTACTTATCTTTTATACTTATCTTATTTTAATAGTCTGTGTTGTTAAAAATTATATATAAATTTTTTTGTTTAGTAATAAAATACAATTACCAATAAAATACTGTATTTTGTTGTCACATTTTCTAATGACAATGTTTTGAAAAAATTGACTGTTCCATTAAACTATTGTAGACAAGGTAAATGAAAACGCTGTTTATTTGCCACCTCATTTTGATTTTTTTAAATATTGCTTTATTGTATTTTTTAGATTATTTGACTGAAATCGATTGGTGGCAATACGCCAGCATAAATTAAAACCAATGCGAAACAATTTCCAAAAATGGTTCAAGCTAAGTTTAGCAAATTGGGAAAAAATTGAAATTTACTGCTTAAGGCGACCTACTTGTGCAAGACTCTGCTTGGTAATTTTTACTTTTAAAATTTAAAATGTGACTTTTCTATATAAGATTATGTTTGGTATTAATAAGCATTATGTTTAGTTTAATTTAGTTTTATAAAATTAATTGTTTTTTTAGAATGAAAAAAATTGATTATATTGTTTGTGATATGTCTTAAAATTACTTATAATAATATCAAATAGATGATAATCTAAATATGAACTTATTTTGAGTTTTTTTTTTTTTTTTTTTTTGTAGATGCTCTGACGACGGAAAGAATATCAAAATAAAATGTAGATTGATTAATAGGAGAACATTTAAAGAGAGATCTCAGTGCTGAAGATAAAAAAACATTCATTTTTGTAAATTGCATTAACATTAAATTTGTGTTTTAAATTATTTGTGTATTCTTTTGAATTTATAATGCCATTATAAATAAAACTAAATAAATTTTGCAATGAAATCATCAATTTTATTTGAAAAATTGAAGAAGTAGGAGGATTTATTTTCTAAATATAAAAAATATATAGTAATTTTTATACTTTCAAAGCGTCACATTTGGACGGAAAAAGCTCTTCAAATAAACGCTTTCAATACAGTTCTAAAAAACGTTATTAATACAAAAAAGTTGAAAAAAAATGTCCGCAGTGATTCTACAGATATGATAATCGTATTATAAAGTAGCAATATTTCTGATGTTCCTGATTATTAACCTGATCACTGCCAAAGGGTCAGTTTTTATGTTACTAAACATGTGGTGGCATCTGCTGTTCCATATTGCACTCATGGTTTAAGTGAGCGTGAACATCAGTTGCGAAATAGGGTTCTTCTCCGATAAATTTGCTATACTAATCGAGAAGATCGAATTTATTGGAGAGAAATTTTTTTGGGATGTCAATGAGTTACATACGTGTTTAAAATACTCCCATATTTCAACAGAAGGAGGACAGTAGGCAAAAATGTGGATGTTGTCCTTAATTTTACCGCAAGTTTTGCATTTGTTGTTTTTTACAATCTGTTGCCTTGTGCTTTTGGCTAGCAAGGCCGCAGAAGGTAGACTGTTGTGTAAAATATAAAGAGGATATTTTGTGTCGGTCCGCATGCGTGGGAAGTAAAGATTTTTTTCCAAATTTGGGCGCACGGTATTTTTGTTTTTGTTGAACCGTTCCATAAAAGTTCTGCTAGCATGACTGTCTTTTTGTTTTTTGCCACCTCTAAATATAACTTTTTTTTGTTTTTAGGGGGATGTTAAAAAGGGACCCGTTTTTGCCTAATAATCAACTGTTGTTTTGTAGTACTGAGACATTTTATTGTCCCAGTGTTTTAGAAAATTGTTTCAAAAAGTTCCAGCTTTGGTTTTGGTTCGTAAACTTTATAAGTGAACTTGCTAACCAGTACTTTGAAAAGTAATAGTAGTCGTGAGTGTTATCCTCTCCGCATTCTTAGTTGAAAGAGTGTTTTGAGGCAAAGTGCAAGGCTTTGCTCCTTCAGTTTTTGACGGGTAAGAAAAGTGTCTCTCTTTTGACCGGATTGTAATTGGTCTTTTGCCACAGATTTTCAAATATGGCACTGTGTAAACGTTCTATTACCCATTCGGGAACGGGCAGCACGTTTGCCAGAAACCACACTTTTGACATTGCTAACTTGTTTATCAACATAGTCTTTCCCTTAACCGATAAAGTACGAAATTTTTTTCTCTATTTTGTTTAGAGTTAGTAGCCAGTTGAAATTGGTAGTATTACTCAGTCTGGTGTAAAACGTAACACCTAATATTTTGAAACCGGTGTTATTGGTCTACTCTATGTTGTCCAATTCTGGGTACATTTTACGATCAAACCACCCAAGTGCGAGATCCTTGGTTTTTAAATTTTTAGAGAATCTGCAGCAGAAACGCACGATCATCTTTTTCAAAGGCCTTTTCTTGATCTATTGACAAAATGAAACTAGGTAGATTTTTTAAATTCCGCATAATCTATTAGATCACGGACTAAATGAATATTTGAAAAAACTGTTCTACCTGGAATTCCACAAGTTAGGTTTGGTTCTATAAATTTTCCCATTACTTTTGCAAGTCTTAGGGCCAACACTTTGGTGATTATTTTGTAATCAGCGCCAGTTAAGGATATGGGCCTCCAATTTTAAATTCAGTAAGATCTCCTTGTTTGGGAATCTGTGAAATCATTGATTTTTTCATAGAGTGGCTGGTATTTTTTTCTACAAAAAGTATTTCGTAAGCAAGTTCTTCAAAATATTTTTCTAAAATGTGCCAAAAAGTTTTGTAAAGTTCAGCTGGAAGTCCCGGAGATTTTCCGTTTTCAAATTTAAAAAGGGCTTCTTCTAGCTTCGCACCGGTTAGGCGGGTATTTAAAATTAGGTTTTCATCATCACTTAAACGTTTAGTGATGTGTAATGAGACATAGTTTTGCATAAATTCGTTTTGGTGTAAATGTTTTTATAATATAGAACAAGGGAGTTAAGTATTTCACCAGGTTCACTCGTCAATGTGCCGTCGTTCTTGCGAATTTCGGTAATTGACTTGTACCGCTGTTAAAATTTTTCCAAATTATACAAAAATTTTGAAGGTTTTTCTCCTTCTTCGATAAGTTTTCGTTTCGTGCGAATAAACGCTCCTGGAAACTGGAGCAAGAAAAGAGCATCGCGTTTTTCTTTGATGCTATCTAAATTCGGATTAGCGTTTTGTTGGTCCCATTGGATTTCATTTTCAATCCTTTTGATGTGTTTTTTTTTTTTGCACTTTCCTGAATCGATATATGTTGTAATTTAACCCTAACAAAAAGTTTGCAGTCGTCCCACCATTTTAAAATTGACTTAAAAGACCATCTTTTAATTTGCCAATCTTGAATTAAGAGTTTCTGCCTGTGCACTTCTATTTCCAAAAGGGAACAATTTAATTTCCATTTGCCTAATCCTCACCTAGTTTTACTAAAATTGACGGTTGTTGTTAGGAACTTGTGGTGGGAAAAAGAGTTGGTGAGAATTTTGGTGCATATTGCTTATTTAGCGATTTTATCAGGGCAGTAGATTCTATCGCGTCTACATTTTACCTTCTGATTTCGCCAGGTGAATTCGCTTTTGGTTAGAAATTTAAAACGAAAAACATCTACTAGGTTATACTGACCTTGGAAGACCTCTAGTTTGTCAATGCCGTAGATGTATTGGACAAAACATTTGCAACCAACATCGAACAATGATAAAAAGTGTTTCTAATTTTACATGTCTTAAAAACGAAACAAACTATACTATCACAGCAAACAGTTCAAGAGTCTAGAGTCATAGCATGCCATGACATGAGCAATCAGCTGACAGGTAATAGCACACAGGCAGAATTTCGTTGACAAGTGCCATTTGCAACTGGCACTTTTCAACAAAAATGAAACAAACGAAAATGAAACAAACCAAAAAAAGTTGCACTTGGCAACTTTCGTTGCCAAGTGCAACTTTTTTGGTTTGTTTCATTTTCTTAAGTCTGGTCCGTGTCAACGTCACAGAAGTTTTTAATAATTAAAGGAAGTATCCAGAAGTTTCCAGAAGTTTCCAGAAGCATGCAGAAGCTTCCAGAAGTTTCCAGAAGAAGCATCTAGAAGCATCCAGAAGCATCCAGAAACATTCAGAAGCATCCAGACGCATCCAGAAGCTTCTAGAGCATCAAAAAGAAGCGTCAAGAATCTTCCAGAGCAGGTTCACACAGGTTCATTTTACTATATAAAAGACATGTAAACCGACATGTAATTCATTCAGTAAATGGAAGTCAATCAGTCAGTATTATCAAGACAGTTTATCGAAGTGAGTTTTATCAAAGTATTTTATCGAAGAGCATCAATACAATAGTTCCAATCCAAGACTGTCGGAAGTCATTTTTGCACTTGAAGTCATAAAAATAATAAAAATAAATATTCACGCTTTTCAAAGCTTACCGTGTTACATTTACCTTGTGATGATACAATAATGCTCTGTGGAACACAACGTCTTGGTTGGATGTGGACTGTATTGATGTAATGAAACACTTTTTATATTTCTCTTCAGAAAGAAAATTTTTGCCAATTACGTAAATGGAATGTCACAAAAAAGTATTTGTGATAAATATCACGTGAAAATATGGACCGTATCAAGTTTATGTTCCAAATATCGTTCTACGGGGAAGTTGGCAGCAGATAACAAAGGTGGAAGACCGCGTTCAACTACTTCTAGAGAGGATTCTATGATTGTCAGATCCGTCAAAAAAGATCCCTGGATATCATCAGTTAAGATACAAAAGCAATTAGAGCTGCCTGTATCGGACCGAACAATCAGACGACGTGCTGTCGAAGCCGGGTTGTTTTCTCGACGCCCCGCAAAGAAACCGCTGATTTCATTAAAAAACCAGAAGAAAAGACTCCTGTTTGCTCATCTCATATTGACTGGAAAGTGCAGAAATGGCAAATTGTCCAGTTCAGTGATGAATCGAAGTTCAACATCATGGGGAGCGATGGTATTTGCTGTGTACGTCGACCGGCCGGAAAACGCCTCAATTTACGTTACTGCCATTAGACCGTGAAGCATGGTGGAGGCAATGTAATGGTCTGGGGGTGTTTTCTGCTAATGATCTAGGTCCAATACATCGAATCGATGGAATAATGGACCGTTTTATGTATATAAATATCCTGAAAGATGTTATGTTACCTCATGCTGAATAGAATTTGCCAATAAAATGGGTTTTTCAGCAAGGCAACAATCCGAAACACACTGCAAAAGTAGTCAAGCAGTGGTTTCAAGACAACCACCTATCGGTAATGGATTGGCCGCCTCAATCTCCGGATCTCAACCCTATCGAGAATGTGGGAGATCGTCAACCGTAGAACTAATCGTGAAGGTGTTCGTAATAAGGATCAACTGTTAGAACAAATCCGAAAGGCCTAGACAGCGATTCCACAAAGTATCATTAATCACCTGATCAAATCTATGCCTCGAAGATGCAAGGCTGAGATCGACAACAAAGGATTCGCCACGAAATATTGATAGCGAAATACATTTGGTCAACATTTTGTGGAGTTGCACTTCTTTTGTCCAGAAGGGTATCAACTTTTTTTAATACTTTTGATTAATTTATTAATTTTTGTGAACTTTGTGATGAACAAAACTTGAAGAACGTTATCTCTAAACAGTTACATAGTTATTTCTCTAAATTGAAAAAATGCAGCCCTTTTATATAAAGAAACTAAATTAGCATTATTTGGTTGTACTTGTTTTGTCACATACTGTATATTGAAGGACCTTATTATTTTTTTTTTTATCAAGTCATTTATTCAGTCAATTTTCTCAAAATTATTAATTTGAAAAATTATTAGAGGGGCAAATGCCCCTGCTGCTCCCCGGTTGTTACGGACCTGCGTACAACT